GAAGCCAAAAAGCACAAAATTTTACCTTTTATACTATGAACAGAAATGTGCAACCATTTTGCAGCATTTTCTGTCTGTTGCTATGCCATTATTACCGAATTGGCGCGTTAGTAGAGCACCTCTGACCATTTTTTTAGGCGATTTTTGGTCATTTTTGCAAAAAAAAAAAGGAGGGGTGGTGAAATCCCCCCAGTTTGACCAAATTTCCTTAAACTTAGACTGAAGTAGTTTTGGGTGGACCCCTTTAAACTGGCAAAGTTTCATTGAAATCGGTGAGATGGCTTGTGCCACCCCCTCCTGGTCCTATCGTGGATGCACTCTTAAGCAGAGGAAATTCAGAAATATGTTTACTGTCTTTGTTCAGTATTTCTTCTAAACTTTCTTCTACGACACTTGCCTTCAGAAAGAAAGAAGGGCTGAACTGGCCTTTTGGCTCAGACCACCATCACTGATCACACACAATTCATCTTGTCACTTCCTAAAAACAGAAAACCGTGTAATGAGTGAGAAGATAAATGATGAAAATACCTTTAACAACTGCCAAACTCCACTGTGATGAATCCTGAAGTGATGGCGCCCTGTGGGAGAGCAGAGATGATAAATGACTGATTAGTAAAGTTGAATAAATTGAAAACTCACAAACTCAGAAGGATCCTTGTCAACTGCTTTGATTAATGCTTTACAAAGGCGATGATGACGTCCTGTCAATATGAGAGACAGAGAGGGGACAAATGATTGATCAGATGGTCAGTACCTTCCAGATAAAGGTAGCATCGGAGTCAAGACACAGGAAAAGATGCACCCAAGCATCTTTACTTCCAGATCCCGTTAGGGTTCAGTTCAGCCCACAGCCGGCGACTAAATGAGCCCACCGAAACCACTTTGTGTTCAAACGCAGCTTCTTTCCTTCAGTTTTACAGCATTATGCAAATCTTGAAATGTGTTTTGCACTAAAAATGTAAAAAGAAATATGTTTTTACCTGTATGAGTTTAACAATTTAGTTATTTAGCAGATTTTCCTTGTTTTGTTAAGTTACAGATAATGCCATGTAAAATCCCAACTCAAAATATTAATTTACATGCTAACTTTAAAAAAAACCCTCAACATTATTTTCAGTTTTTACAGTAAACTCCTACTTTTTTTTTAATCTTTATTTTTTTTATGATGCACTGAATACGATGTGTAGTTTTGAGTGGAGTTACTTTATCACTAATAACATCTGTTTCTACAGTTTGCATCTGATTCATGACTTTGCCTCAGAAGTAACTAAACAAAACAACACTTCCAGTTTTAACGTTATTGTTGATGAATATGGGTAGTAAAATTACCTTCTTCCTAAAAAACAACATTTACAGCAACATTAAAAATATATTATAGCTCACCAAAGAGCTAGCTTGCTAGCCACTAACAAATCTTGACTAATTATGTTAGCTAGTGTGCACAATGTGTTAGCATAGACTGTATATAATTTGCATAAAAACTCTATTTATTTTCTTTGTATTTGTGTTAGTAAACCACTGAGTCCTTTCTAGATGGTGGCATGAACGTTATAATGAGCTAACTGAGTAGCAAACTACTACCCTTGTGTTTATGAAAGTAGCAACCTGAGGCTAAAGTAGCTAGCTAGCAGCAAAGTAGCTAATTAGCAAAAAGTTTGGCTTAAGCAAAGTTGAATATTTTGTTATATTGTAATTCTAGCAACATATTTTTGCAAACAGATAGTTTGTTTACAACTTACTTTTTTTTTTTTTTTTAGCAGTTTTATCAGGGAGACTTGACAACTGCCAAATGCTAACTAGCATCTTTTCTCATTATATATGTGCTTGAACCGTTGCTAGCTTCTGCTTACCACAAGTTCCTACTTAACTTTACACATAGCTATTAAATATAAATATTTCACAGGTTTATGTCTGAGTCAGTTTCTTAGAAGTAACACAAAAGATAAAAGTGAGCCATTTTTTTTCCAGAGTTAACCGTTTATTCAAAGAAACAATGAGGAGCACAGCCGGCTCAGGGCAAAGAGAGAATGCTACAAGCCATAAATAGTGGTTCGGTACAAAAGAAAAAAACCATCACCGAGAGGATTAATTAGCTTTTCTTGGGATACAAAGCAATATAAAAAAATAAATCAAAGTCAATGCAAGACATTAGAAAGCCTCATCAAAACAGGGAAGTGAAATGTTTGCTCAGACACACACAGAGCTCCTCTTTAGCCTTAAAAAAGTGAAATGGATGCAGGCGGTGCTCATGTTCGTAGAAGTGCCAGTGTTCATACGCTCTCCATGAGAAATCAGTGTACAAAAAAAGAAATGGCACCCATGCAGATAAGTTAACCTCAGGTGTTTCATTTGACTTTTTTTTTTTAAAGTGGGTTAAAAAAAAAAACGACAGTCGGCTTAATGGTGCCTCCTTTAGTCCTGTTGCTGCCCCACAGAGCAGAGCAGCGTGGGGATGGATATGCCACCAGAGTTTCCTCCACATCGGTCCTCTCCTTAAATTGCATTACGGCATGCATACACTGTGCTGCAGACAGGCCGCCAGCACGTCTGGCTTCTTGAAGTAAACATCTTCTAATAATTAAAGAATCACAAGTAAACATGAGAAAAACAAACCAAACGTCACCGTGTTGGACTACCAGATGGATTACGGGAACATACAGTATCTACAGGACGACATTCACCAGGCCTTTGATTTGGAGTAAATATTAGGTCCTTTTTTTTTTTTTTTAATGTAAGTAGCGTCTAAATAGCGAGGCCTACTTCTCTGCTCAGCTCAGCCAAAGTTTGGTGTAAGTGGGGTTCCTGCCCCATACGTACCTCTACTGACACAACGCACAGTCCAATTGTTACTCAATACAGGAGTCACCTTTTTTTCTGCAAGTTAAATTAATGTATTTATATTCTGCATTTCCTATATTCACTATATAGTACTTTTCATTGCACAGGGCTGGATTTAAACTGCCTTCACATACATGATAGATCACTAACGTCACAATTCGCTCTCATATTTCTGATTTAGAGGCGTTAAGCTGCTCCGCAAACGTCTCCTGCTGCTGCTTCACAGCAAAAACATTCAACTCGCACAAACATCAGGTGGCTTTTATTGTGAAGTAACAACAGGAAACCCAATGTGCAGCATGTGGACTGAAATCTTAAGGATTAAAACTAATATTTTAGTTGTTTTCACTCCTCTCGTCAAGAGTGTGAAGGTTGGGTTTAACTGTTGGGGTTCGTATGCAGCTGAAAATAATCGGTATGTTTACACGAACTGAAGAGAAAATTCAACAACATAAACCACAAGTTTGTTATAATAATAATAATAATAATTCAAAGATAAAAATATAATAACACACATATTTTTTAAAAAAACCAATGCATAGCATAATCAGCATTGCAAAATCCAGCTGTACTGCGCTTCATATCTAAACCCCAGCCGGGCGGTTTGCTTCCACGAGTGGAACCAGGTGTCAGGAGTGGGGGTTTCTTGTTTTTCCAGGTGGAGCCTTGCTGCTCAGGAGGAGAGAGCGGTGGTGGGAGTCCGAAGCGCTCCGGTTAAAATCGAGGGAAGGGGGGAGGGAAAACAAAGCGAGGTGGTTCTAGGGGGGGTCCAGAGGAGGAGGAAGTTAGAAGGGTGAGGAGGGGGGATAGATTTTGGACTCCCTGCTCTAAACGCTGCTGCTCAGGACCACAGCTCCTCCAACTCCGCTGACTCCACGGCGCTCTTATCAAAAGGAGTGAAGAAGCTCCACGCCGGCGCTCTAAGTGTCCTCCTCCTCCTCGCGGTTGCCCACCACCCTCTTCCTCAGAGCTTCGTCAGGGAAAGCCTGTCCCTTTGGTTCTGGGCGGCCCTCGGGGGACCCTCGCCGCCTTCTCCAGACCTCATCCCCGTCCTCCTCTTCCTCCTCCTCGTCGTCGTCCTCCTCGCCGTCGGCCTCGTGGTCGTCGTCTTGCTGCTGGATTAACCTCGCCTGCTCCATCGTCTGTTTCTCTGCAGAAGAACGTTCAGAACAACCATCAAGCTCTGTTTCAGAACCAGCAACAAACAAAACTCCAGTGAGCACAGCTGTTAGCTACAGTGTAAAAAAAAATGTCTTAACAGTATTTACCTGTAATAGTTTGAACACTTTACTGTTATTTTAGAGAGTTTCCCTGTTAAATTACAGATAATAACGAGTACAATTACAGAGTAAACATATTCACTTATATGCTAACCCTAAAAAAAACAAGCAAACAAACAAACAAAACCCACAGGCTGTAAATAATGTACACACATAGAATAATCTGTATATTGACAAATGGCAAGTATTTGAACTGTATATATATCAGAACACAATTAGTTATTTTACAGTAAAATTATGTATTTTAAGGCTGGAAAAATTGAAAATTGTTTCAATTTTTTTTTTTACTGTACAGATTTCTGATATCTAGTAAAATAAATCACACATTAATTTACACGTTGACTGTAAACAAACAAACATTTAAATCAGCCAAACAAACGATTATTTTATGATTTTTTTAAAAATTGTTATTTTACAGAATTTCCTTATTGTGTGAAATTAGAAATAATATCTAGAAAAATCACAATAAAGATGTATCAACATGCAGTAATTTAAATGTTGGCTTTATAAAACATATATTTCTAAAAATCTATATTTTAGAGATATGTGCCATTATTTTCACCATTTTCTACAGTTTGATTATATTTAATAATCATACATTTTACAGCATCCCTTTTTTCTTCTTCACTGAATTATATTTGCAGTGCATCTCTGTGTAGAATAGAAACACGTGTCCCAGTGAAGCAGGATTTAGCATCATCTCATATGAAACTCACTCTGGTAGTAATCAGGGGAAGAAAACCGTCGTGAGGGGAAGACAAAATCTGCGATGAACACCAGCAGCTGCAAAAACAAGACAACATTAAATCAATAGCAAAGGCAGCCTTTGTGTTTGATAATCACAAAAAATGCTGAAGTCGTCTCCAACAATCATGATGAAGTGAAATCACTCACCAGACCCAGTGCGAGGCCGGAGAACAGAGTGGCCAAGCCAAAGATAACATATGAACCCCAGACAGGGATCCCCAGCTGCTCCGTCATGTAATTATGACAACGCTGCAAATCACAGAAACACATTGCTCCAACTTCATGTATATTCAAATCACAGACATGGCATTTACCTGCAGTGATTTGTGTTCACTATTTAAATCTTCCCACGGATTTGTTTGCCTGTGACCAACACCAGCAGGAGGAAACCCAACAAACCTCTGGCGCCACCATCAGGCCACACTCACAATCTTAAACAACACATCTGAACTCTAACTTCATGCTATTCACAGACCTGTTTAGGTGAATACCAGCAGATATTTTAACACATGATTTGATTTAAAAATGGCAAATATCTGTGTGGAGATTCTCGAGTTCATGCTAAGTTCTCCAGCAGAAGACAGCTTCACAAATCCAGATGCTTTCTATTTAAGCACTTATGAAACACGAATATCATGACGAATTACAGTCACATTATTCATACTGGTGCAGAACATTACATTAACTCAACGTTACAGCAGCGCAGAGGGCTGGGAACTAAAGTCAAGCTTCAGTTCAACATTCACTGTCTATACTTTAAAAGGAAACTTATTTTCACTTGTTTTAAATGTTTTATTTTCAATTCATTTATGTCACTTTGAAAAAAAACGGTTTTCATTTTCACTCAAAGAACCTTCAGTAATTTTTTCCCCTAAAAAGCCAAACTATATTGAGATTGATTTAATGTTAAAAAGAAATAAAAACAAGGCAGATTTCCCAGGAGGGTTGATCCTTTTTATAGACACTGTAGATTTAAAAACATGGGATCGAGCTTTACCACATAAGATAAATTCAAACGTGTCACACAACTAGGATGACATACATTTATAAGAACCACGTCTCAGACGTGCTGTATAATGTATATTCTGAACTGTAGTCTTTGCAATTTACTAATTCCATTGTCCAATCAATTAACTGTGCACCTCTGGTTACAATATAGGAGACCTTTTTAAAGCTTTGGAGTATTTTACACATTTATAATATGAGTTAGCTCATGTTTTAATCGTTATCTCAGCTGAACTCAAGAACAGATCTGCTGATGTTCTGTTTCTTCTTGTTACCATAATATGCAAAGCTTAAGTGGTCTATGTACAGTCTGAATGTAAACATGTGGCCTGATGAAGCAGGAGTCACGATAACATTATATGAAACTCACTCTAGTCGTAATCAAGAGGAAAAATCGTCTAAAGCCTGATCTGTTTTCCTCCTCTGTGTTGGTGACGACTAAACTACTATTAAATGAGCCACGCTGTTCTTTCATTATTATGAACACAGTAAACTGAACTGCACATACTTAAATATTATATATAAACTCACTCGAGCAGCAAATGTGCATCATTCTGCCACTGATAATAGTCTTTAAAAAGAAGCACAATTTCCTCTTATTTGAGTGTTATTTGATAACAACTACAGGACGCTGAAACTATTCTTTGACTTGTTTCTTTAGGGCTGCCTTCTTCACTAGATTTCAAAGGGCTCGGCGCTGAGTGACAGCCAGAGTGAGGAAGTGAAAGTACTGCGAGTGACACCGACGGTTTTGTAAGTTTATCCTGCTGTCCTACAACACACACTGTCGGCTGCACTTTGCTCTGCGTTACCGCGGTAACTCTACACGCCGTAAAACTGGATTTGAGGCTCGGACTCGACGCGATTTCACGTCGGACAAAGCAGCCGCACAAAACAAATGCTTTGCTGGTGGATAATGACCTGCAGCGAAATCCTCACTTACCCGGATAAACATGGAGAGCTTGAACAAAGCAGACATTGAATTCATTCTGCCAAAAGAGGAGGAGATGAGAGCAGGTCATTTAACACAGATTTGTCAAAGTGTAGCATCACTACAAAGCTTCAACACACAGAATAAGAACCAGAGAGGCTGTTTCACTTCAAATCAACTGAAAGACACTAAGAATAAACATCTGATGTTATTTTCTGCTGTTTCAAAGCTAAGCAGGGAAAACAGTGATGCAGTGACACTAGAAATAAAGTTTAAATGAGAAGAAATGTGTACAACGACCATAAAAACAGAACACTGATATAAAATACTGACATAACCCAGGCCGACTGATCATTACAGCCACACAGCGGAGATCTGGCCCGAGCTCAAAACTCACAAGAACGAAGACGGGCCGAACCAGGAGGAAACCGGTTCCACTGCTTTCCATTTCTGCTCATCGACGAAGGTGAGGAAGTCGTTTTTGGTCCGAGCTCCCTGGTACTTCCGGAAGACGCCATCCTTACAGCTGGAACACACACACAAGAGTTAGTTTGCTTCATCGAATGACACGCTGTTTAAAAAAAATGTGCATTTAGCTGCCTTTAGCCTCCTGACAGCCACAGATAAAGCTGAGCAGCAGCCGGCAAGATAAGAAAACAAACTGGCAATAAGATCAAATATACAAATTTTCTCCACAAGGCAGCGTTTAATTTGACTGCATTACACAAATTAGGAACAAAGATTAGTTTGGACTTGCAGCCATAACCTTAAAAAAAAAAAAAAAAAAAGTACAATCACAATCAAGAGATTACGTTCTTTGACTAATTATTGTTTCTGTTGTGTTAACTAAGCGTGTTTTCTGTTAACAGTGATGACTAAGATACTGCTGGGACCATTAGTCATTAAATGAACAGGAACCTGAATTCACCACAAGTCATTTATTGACGGCTCCACCTCGCACAGTCATTACAAAATGCTAGTTTCATAATCAAGACTCGAGAGCAGCAGAGGAAATCATTGACGTCTGATCAACGTTAACACAGATCTCCTTTCAAGACTGAGCCCAGCAGCATTAACACGCTCCAAAGAGGTCACAACAGAAACCACATAACAAACAGAAACTTACTGATAAATAGTAGGAAGTGATGTGATGATGAATCGCCCGCTCAGACCTTCGAGAAGGAGGAGACAAGTGACTGTCAGTGTTCAGGAAGGAACGTTTTTGACTCATAACTAAACTGAAAGGACCTTCAGACTTGGCAGACGGGCTGAATAGTTGTGTTTAAACAGTAACAGGCTCACGTTAACACATCACAGAAGACTGGAAAAAGAACACAGACAGTACAGGAGACAAAACTGCTGCAAATGGCACTTTGTTCAAGCAAATGAAGATGTTTTTGACAGTCAGACGACACCATTTGTCACGGTTTTAGTTTGTAATGTTGTGCGCCGAATAATATCTAAAGAATGTGCATGTGACCACTGTTTCTGTGCTGCATGGAGTTTTAAGATGACTCATCGAACCAGCAATCTTTGTATCATGATATGTTCTCCTAAAATAGCATCTAACACCAGATTAAAACTGGTCAGAAGCTGTCTGACATGACATTCTGTTACAAACCTATCAAACTGAAGATGATCTGACCCAAACATGGTTTTGTTGTTCTCAGAAATTGGTTGATTTCATGTGGAACGACCCGAAAGAAAGTCTCACCACACGTACTCCTGTGGGAAGCTTGGCCTTGATACCCACAGTCAACATATGGGGGGTCAGACTAGATTATTGACATTAACTAACCGACACCATGTGACTCTTCTACCAGTCTCTACACTATTATGATTGAGGTTCAGTTATGTGTTTTGGTTTTCGTGTGCCACCCTGAGATTGGACCCTCTGGCCCCCTGCTGAGGAACATTTCTGGGTGCACCCCAGTCCAGTTTGAATGTCCTGAACTGGAGAATGTGCATGTATGTACATGTATGTATGTGCATGTATGTATGTGCATGTCCCAGTGTGGTGTGCAGCAGGGAAGCAGAGGTCATGCAGGCCTACCGGGCTGTTCTGTCACGTCCACCTTGGCTATGTTGACCCCCATGTCCTCCCCCCAGTCAGCAAACTCCTTCCACACCGGCTGCAGCTGCTGACACGCCGGACACCAGGGTGCGTAGCTGAGGAGGGGCAAAGTTTCACAAGTGAACACTCACGTCGTAAACTGCACAGTCACTTAGATCAACGTGTGAACAGGCGCTCATTGCTGCTACTGTACTTTACCAGCATGTTGGTTAGCAAACAGGCTAGCATACAACTGTGGTGAGCTAAAGATGGCAAGCTGTTCGCGGAGCTACATGTGTTCACAACGTAATGATAACAATCAGATAAATCGGAATATTCACGTAGATTCAGGAATTTAATCCCCGTTTTTTCGTTATTTTTTTTCCGAGGTGGAAATGAAACTGACAAAAGCTATCTAGCGGGTTAGCCGTTAGCATTGGACGTTAGCAGGTCACTGACAATTCAATCATCCACTCCCCGGTCAGGATGTCCTCCCAGTTCCCGTCCGTCACTTCTGTCAGACTGTCCGGCTTGGCCGAGGCCGACGACAAGTAAATCCCCAGGAACAGAAAGCACATCCATGAGCGGTGTTTGGTTCGTCGAGGTAAAGACAACATTGTTGTGCTGCTGCTAGCTAGCAAACACGCCATGACTGAGCCGCTCACTTCCGCTGTGCGTCTCATCAACGTCCGAGTCATCAGGAGAGGTTTCACTGTGAGAACAGCTCGTAGGTTTTTATCAGGAGGATTTTAATACAGGCACACAACCTCCAGAAATACTCCGTAGCATAAAAAAAAAAAACAAAACAATAGGGCGGAAAATAAAAACAAAAGGGCATAAGTAAAACTCTAATATTCTGTTATTGTGTTGTGTTACAGAAGCTAGTTGAAGAGTTAAGAAATCACAAACTGCTTTTCTGGGTGGCTGCTGTATTTCAAATGCCCCAGTTCATCTGTGCAATAAACTAATTATCCCAGGCCCACCGGACCCCATGCACCTCTATGCCCATTATTACTATTTGTTCTATTTTTTATTCCCATTGCACCTTTATACTTTTTTATACTCTGTTTTTATATTCAGTACTCCAGTATCTATCTATCTATCTATCTATCTATCTATCTATCTATCTATCTATCTATCTATCTATCTATCTATCTATCTATCTATCTATCTATCTAAGGAACATCAGTAGATCAATAAAAATAAGCCATATGTCTATATTCAGACATTGCACAGGTCTGGATGTGGAAAATAAAAATACTGCACATACTCTTCCATGAGTACAAATACTGATACAAGCAATATTAATACTGTTATTGAGTTTTGAAATGTACAAAACACTCATATTGCAAAGGTTGACTGTGTTGCGCCACAGTGAAATCAGTCTCCATGTGCATAATTAATAATATTATAGGATCCTAACGTTAATATTTAAACATGTCAGGTTAATACGTAGCAGCAATCTTATTCCTCTACTGCAACGCATTTTGGCTGAACTGCTGCTGCTTTAAACGTGCTGTATAAGTAACAAAAATGACAAAATCACATGTAAGCTGAAGTGATTTCATTTGTTTTTCTTTTCTTTTACTACATTAATCACTTTTGTATATTCAAGTATATACATTAGATTATTTTTTTTTACTTACTGAAGCATTAAAAGTAGATTTTTCTTTTTGAATGTCTCCTATTTCCACATCAACACTGCTCAACTGTCACTACTGTAAATGATTTTATATGTACATGTATGTCTGTTATATCACCATCAGGTGGCGCTATTGGCTCTAAAATAACCCAGAGAGGAAGTAGATGTTACTGCTGTGTGTGTTGACTCTCTAGTGAGGCAGCTTTTTATAAAATATAAGTAGTAATGGCTGAAATACTGCTTCATAAATAATAACTCCTGCTCTGTAGTGTATGAGTTAATGAGTGTATTCACTGGGATGTACACAACCTGAACCCAGAACTCCAACACTTACATTATTGATATTTAATTTACTGTGTGTCTTTAAAGACCAGATTGTGCTTTTATCTGTCTGTAAAACTTGACAATTTTAGAGTTTGTGTATTTTATTCTGCTTCTTTGTGAAGCATTTTGTCACTTTGAATTTTTAAAAAAATAAAAAATTCTAAGGAGTATAGTATTTAAAGGATGGCCAAACACACATCATGATTACCAAAAATAAAGGAGGAGCAGCGGCCTAGAAATGACCAAAAATATCCTATTAATTACCTCTGATTAAACCATGAGGCTCAACTTATATGAAGGGTTTCTTATGACAAATAGGATCAAAGACTTTGCAAGTAATTGACGAATCAATTAACGAATTCACTGCACTAATTATACAGTGTGGATTTAAGCCTTTGTAGAGGAAATATGGAGAAAGAAAACTACTGAGTCAGAAGATGAGGATCAGATAAATGCATTTATTAAGTCAAAACAGAGCAGAAAAGGAACGAGTGTCCTTTGGTTGGGATCTTCAAAGCAGCAAGATCCGAGTGTTTTGCATTTTTCATCTGTCGCATGTAAAATTCATTTGATTTGACTTGAAGGTGAAGTGAAATCCTGTTAGATGCAGCCTTGTAAGCGACGTCAAACTAACCCAAACTGCCAGAAACACGGACGTCCTGCTGAAGCCTCTGAGTTAAGAACTGTTTGCAAGTTGGTATCATGGTTTCATCACATCTGAGTCTCCAAAACATCCCTGTTTTTGCAGCCATTTCAACCCCAAGGTTCTCTTTTTTGTGAGTATTGCATTGAAACAGAGGTGCAAAACAAAACTACCTCTATATTTCAATATGCTAATGTTTTCTTGTTTTTTGGCATAATTCGGGGAAATGCAAATTTTTTCCCCGAGTAGAGAAACATCTACAAAAATAAGCATAACTCTGTGCAAAATAAACGTGTTCTCTTCCATCTGTTACTCATGTCATGACCAGGCAAACTTATATTTTTAACTTTTCTCACCCTGCAAAGCTTAAAAGAACCCTAAACTTCCCAGAAATCTCAGTGAGCTTCTGCTGAAACTCGATCGGCAAACAACGACAGCAGAAGAACAGAAGTTTGCTCCCAAACTTGTTCTGTGCACACAAATCTGTCCGTCTCTCAGCAGATCGACAGCTTGGATTTGTTTTAGTGCTCGCTTAGTTTGTACATTTCCATCATTTCCAGCACGTGGCCGTGCATGTGAGTTTGTAGAGAGCCTCTGCACGAGAGGACGCCGCTCTGAGTGAATGTGCAGAATGAGAGCAGTTATTATTGCTGGGAACCTGCAGGCAGATTGCAACGGCAGCCGGTTATCAGTGCACCTCACGCTCTAAAAATACCCTCCAGATGACATCCTTTTGTGCCCCGACCGTCGCCCCTCTTTCTCCAGCCATCAGCTCTGCTCCACTTACAGCGCAAAATGCTCGGCGGTCGTCTTTTTAACTTGATGTGGTGGCGAGGGAAGATAAGTGGCGGGCCGGGGAGTTGAAACGTTGTTGTGTGAAACTCTGCTGCAGTTTGGAAGCAGGGACGTTGAGCTAAATGCAGCTGAATTCACTTTTAATGGCGCTTTCAGAGAGAAGAGTTTTTGCCTGTAGGACCCCATGATGCGATAACAAACACGCGCTCGGCTGTGGAAGATTCTTCTAATTTTACATTTAATTTGCTGTTGATTAAACTGTTGATAGCTGGCCAGAGGCTGATTGTTGCCATGGTAACTGCTGTGCTACACTGCAGCCTGTAGATGCAGTCGGAGACATTTATGTGGTTTGCAGTCCTTGAAAAAAATTTTTCTCTTTGAACAGTTTCTCCAAGCAGAGGTTTACAGACAACTTAGAGTGGCAATAATCTACTTATTTATTATAACAACCCAGTTCACTTTCACTGTGGGTCGGACGATATTCCTCAAAATATTTGCCCATTAGCAGTAAAGAAATATGAAATATCATCCAAGGTCAAATGTTACCTCACCAACAGAGAGCCCCAACATGGCTGCTTATCTGCACCAAACACCATAAATCTATTTTCTACCCTTTTGAAGATATTCGGCATTTTTGTAAAAGTGACCTTTGACCTCTAGCAGAGATGTTTTTGCACCGATTGACCCCAAAATCTAATCATCCAGAGGAGAGGCCATCCCTAGCTCGCCTGTTAAATATCAACTTTCTAGGACTTGAGCTAGAAACTGTTCACAGACACAGACGGGACCGGTTACTCTTACTCATTGTCAGAGGTATCTATAAAAACGATGATGTGCTTCTTGCTGTGGTCTTCACCAAACCAAATGTTCCCTTAGAGAACACATCTGTAGGCATCTCTGTCACACCACAGTGCTTTATTTATAATGGTATTTTGTGACACATTTTACTTTTAACCAAAAATGTACAGTCAGTGTGATTTGGATGTTGCTCTTACCTTAATGAATTGTTTATTCCTACGTCCAACACTGACATATTATGATCCTGTACAGTTCACACATCCATCATGCATTTGCGGTTGCATTTTCAATATAAACTCTTTGTTTAGTTCCATTTTGGTCCAACACCATTCTGTTTTTAAATGCTTTACTGTCTTCACCAATTTGTTGTTAATCTGTTAACCTGAGGACAGGTTAGATACATGAAATCCTGGATTAAAATCGGGTTTATTAAAGCACACAATACTTTTATTTCTGTCATTCATCTGACTATCCATCCATCCATCCATTATCTATACACCACTTCATCCTCACTAGGGTCATGGGGGGCTGGAGTCTATCCCAGCTGACTCAGGGTGAAGGCAGGGGACACCCTGGACAGGTCACCAGTCTATCACAGGGCTACACTTAGAGACAGACAACCAAGCACACTCACATTCACACCTACGGACAATTTAGAATCACCAATTAACCTCAACATGTTTTTGGACTGTGTGGGAGGAAGCCGGAGAACCCAGAGAGAATCCACGCTGCACAGGGAGAACACGTAAACCCCACGCAGAAAGATCCCGGGTGTCCTAACCGGGACGTGAACCAGCGATCTTCTTGCTGCGAGGCGACAGTGCTAACCAACTGCGCCACCCTGCAGCCCCATTTGTCACTAATTGTATCTAATTTTAGAAATATTTTCATATCATTAAACTTGAATTTAACAGTTTCATCTTTTAAATGAACAAGAACTAAGATTATTTTAGCAATGTGTATTTTACCTTTCTGTTTATGTCAAAAAATATTCTTACCAAAAAAAAGAAAATATTTATGTTATTCAACAGTTACCTGTTTTAATGTATTTTTACATGAGACGTGTAAACTCAGTGTCGCTGTTTTTGTAATTTTATTGCTGTTTTCATATCTTGCAATAATACAGAAAAAGAAAGAAACATTCAGTAAAGTTGCTGTTTTTATTTTACAATGCAGAGACTATGATTACTTTGTTGAGGTGCAGTCTGTTCATTAAAAAGGTGAACTAAATGATGCTCCCTAATTCTCTGTGGGTGCATGTGAGCAATTTTAATAAGCAGCAATTTGATCCATTTTTAATACAGACTGCTGCATTGTTAACTGAATAAAATTAATTTTCCAGCTTCCTTTCACTCCTTCTTTCACAAGTGATCTGAACGTGATGAAAAACGTGAAAGGAGGACGACTGACTGCAGCTCTTTGGCACCAACAGGTGTGGACGCTTGTCTTTCTAACAGCCCTAATTGTC